AAGCAAGTCCTAAAAAAAGCAGCTGAAAACAGCAATATCCAGATTTAAAACATGTGGATGAAGAAATGTGGGTGTTTTGGGGTGGGCTTTTCAGGGAGGGGGGATAAACTGGTGACTGAACACATGGTCTCTATAGAGATGTACAAACAAAATGAGTTTTTTCAAATTGGTACAGGTTTTATATGCTTCCCAGTCTTTCAAAACCCTACCCAAATTATCTTCTGTTACTCAACCAAACTGAGAGAATATTACTTTTGCAGGGAATTAAATGGGATGAAGTGGGAAAGAGCTTATTTGGAAATTTAGCAGCTGTTTAGCTGCAGAATAAACAGGAAAAATGCCTCTATGCTGAAATATAGGACAACTTACAAGTAGATTAGGTCTGATTGGATAAAGAACAGAGTCAATGGTGGAATAAAGAAAAACAAGTGACATGACTAAAAGCAGAAAAGTAGGAAAATGTTATCAATGATTACATGGATATAGCAAGGATCGACCATATTTATCACACATAAAGGACCCAGGAATGAGGCAAAAACAACCTGAATGAGAATTTTAGGTGCACACCTATAGAGGAAGGGCTGCTGCATGTAGTCCTGTAGGGATGGGGACAAAAGGGGCTAATGTATGAAGGAGATGATGATTCAGCATAATCACAGAATTGCTTTGGTTGGAAGAGCCCTTAGAGAGAAGATCTCCAATTCCAACCATTTACCTCATACAACCAAGTCCACTGTCATCTACATGGCTTGGAAGCCTCTCCAGGGATGGGGACACCCCACCACAGCCCTGGGCAGCCTCTTCCAGGGCTTGACAACACTTGTGGTGAAGACATTTTTCCTCATGTCCAACCTAAACCTCTCCTAGCCCTACTTGGGGGTGTTTTATCTTGTTCTACTGCTTGTTCTTTGAGAGAGGAGACTGACCCCCCCCTGGCTCCAGGCTCCTGTCAGGAGCTGTGCAGAGCCAGAAGGTCTCCCCTGAGCCTCCTTTGCTCCAGGCTCAGCACCCCCAGCTCCCTCAGCTGCTCCTCCCCACACTTGGGCTCTAGACCTCTCACCACTTTTGATCCCCAACTATCAGCCAAGCTCCTACTTCAAGGTAGAAGGGGTCAAGGGAAGCACATTTTAAATAAAAAGATTGCCTGTACCACCCACAGAGCTGGCAGGCCTCTTTTTGCAAGGTTACCTGGAACTAAGGTGTGCAAAGAAACGTGGAGAACCAAGAATTCTCAAAGAGCAGCAAAAAAATACAGGTAGGGACTGAAAGTGATGAAGAACAACAAAAGCAGGAGCCAGAATAGCCAGGAGAGTGAGATGAAGCTGCTCAGGCAAACCTAAGAGGGGTTGGAAGCTTTGACACTTGTGACAAACAGGGCACACACTCATCTGCAAGGGAGGAAAGGAAAAGACACTGCTTTCTCCACAAGAAATTGCCAAAACTCCTGGCCAACAAAAGGAGGAAGAAAGGGCCAACTGCACGTGCACGAAGTCACCTGGAATTGTAGGCAATGAACTCTCAGGCAGAAGTGTGGAATTGTTCAGCTAGAAGTAAAGGAGCAATGGAAGAAACCACAAGAAAAGCAATTTGACCCAAAGCCAGCCTGGATGTCTCTAGAAAGCATTGGTTCATTGAGAGGATGAAAGATGCTGGCCTCCAAAAGAGCCAGAGGGACAAGGCTATTCATAAAGATTTCCATGGGTACCTACTTACCTGTTTATTTAGGTGTTTGCCAGTTTGTGGGGTTCTTTTTCAGTTTTTCACCCAAGATTTGTTGTGCATGTTTAAGCATCTATTTGTTTTTCTCTCTAAAAAAAGAAAGAACCCACCTAGATGAACCTAGACTTTTCTACTGTTCTCTTTTATGGTGAGTCTACAAAAGTTTCACCTTTTCCTCCTCTGTTCTGTCAATCTCAAAGCCTGCTATGAAAATAGCTGCTTTCCTGCTCAAGCACACACCCAGCTCTTTCCCCATCCCACCCACACAATGTGTTCTGCTAATGCCAAGCAGGGGCACAACTGCCACTCATATTATAAAATACCATGCTTGAAAACCCAGCTAAAAAGCACAGAGTAACAGTTGTTAATTAGAGGAGTTCCAATCTATTGTGATGTTAGTTAACACCAGTGAGGCAAACAGAGTTTGACATTTTATTTCCTAATTCCATCTACTCCTACCAAAAATAAACTGTACAGGACTTTACATAAAGGGATTAACTCATTATTCCCACTCTAATAAATCTTTACAGTGACTCTCAAGTCATTTTGAGCATTTGTTCATTTGGTTTTACAAGGCATTAAAAAAAATTGCTGCCACTAGATGCAAGTGGAAGATTTCATTACTGTGTTGGTTCTACAGAAGTTCATTCGATTTGAGGTAACAGTGAGAGTCATTTTTTTGCCTATTAAGTTAAATAACAGAATTAAAACCTTATATCCTGGTTTAATTTTAGAATTTTTTTTCTTTGAAGAACAAAAAAAAAAATCGTATGCTGCTAATATAATTATTAAAAAAAGGAAAGCAAATGAAGTCACATCTTTTAAATGGAAATCTAAGTCCTATTGGCTCTGACAAAGAATGTATGAATAATTTGGTCAGAAAAAGAATTCAGTAGGATGATATCTTGTGAGGTTTTCTACTAGTTGCAATGTATTGCTGACTCTCAATGTTTCATTTCCCAGAAAAAGCAAATGAACTGGGTGGGATCCAGAATTGAATGCACACATCTGAGCTTCAGAGAGTCCGTGTACAGTAGAGAAATAAGCTCTCTAACAGTGCATTCATCTTGTCCTAAAATAGATATTCAAAAGAGGTCAGCTGAGCTGCAACTGCCTATCACTCTGCTGAGCAGAAGAAGAATCTCAGGGAAATGGCTCTGGCAGGGAGAAACACACAGCACAGAAATGAAACGTCAGTCAAGAGACAGGCACCTCTTACAACATGCCATCTGCTCCAGGTTTTTGGAAAAGCTCCATTTTCTACTCTAAAGATGCCTTTTGTCACCCACTGCAATTAGAATACCTTTGTCCATCGACAGGGAATGCCAACACTGCTTCCAACCCAAATTAATATGCTAGTTATTGATGACCATGCTTCCCTCTGCACCTCTCAGACCCTCCTCTCTTTCAACGGGGAGAGGCAAAAGCAAGATAAAGCCCATCAGGTCCCAGGGAACCCTCTGAGACCACCCCTCACCCCAGAGGCTGGGACAGGGCTGACAGCACCACCCTTCACACAAAGGGCACCTGTAGCTGTGTATCCAGTGTGTCAAAAGTTATTTAGTACAAAAATGGAAATAATTTTGCAAAAGCAGTATGCTTTACCTCCTAGGCAGATTTTTTTCCCCCCTATCAGATGTTAAACTCTGCTTTCTCCTAGGGGAGAACTTCCCAACCAGCTCCTACTCTGGGTGGCTCCCTGTGGGTGGCCCTGGTGGAAGAACTGGGCTGGGGCTCAGCAAGCCCAGGCTCAGACCAGCCACTCCAGTGCTCCCCAGGCCCTGATCCCATCAGGGATTTCCATGCCCAGCACCTGCTGCTTATTCCACCACCCTGGAACTCCCAGAGTCTCTCCAGGGCAGCACACACCTTAGGATGGAATTGATGAGCAGATCAGCTCTTAGCTCAGGCATTCAGGCATGTCACACTTCTGCAGAATGTCACTTTGACCAGACAAAGGGCCATAAAAAAGAACAATAAAAAGAAGGCTATTTAACCTGGGGGGGGGAAAGATATAATACCAGCAGTAGCTTTCAATGACAGCACAACCCTTCTGTGTCTTTAAAACCAGGCCAGCTCTGCCTGTTACATCATGCAGACTAATGAGATGCTACAGTATTTACTAGGGTTAAACCTGGGTGATAAAGGTTATGTAAGGGATTCAACACAACTTAAGTGGTCAGAGCTCTCAAATAAACAGGCACCTTTCCTCTCTGAACACCTGGACAGGAACAGTCAATGAAACCCAGGAGAAGTTCACGTCTGGCAAGTTTCTGAGATTGCATTCAGATCTGAAATCTAGGGCAGAGAAGCAAATGGAGGCAGCACACACCACTCAGACAACCATAAAAACCCAGCCAGGTTGTGTCACACAGCTCTTTACTCTTCATGTCCCCTCTGATATTGCTATCAAAGGACTATGAAACACCTTTGTGTGCTATATATATACACAACACCTGCAGGCCTACGCTCCTCACTCCTCCTGCTCTTTGCCTCACTGTCATCTTGGACTTGGCATGTTTAAGCCAAGCTCTCCAACCCCAGTAAAATGCAGATCCAAGTGCTGCTTTCCCAAAGGTTGCAGTTCCTCCTCGAGGTTACCACTGATAAGGAATTTTGATTTTTCCACTCTGCAGAGAGTACAGTTTTAGCCATTCCTCACCCTTTTTCGTGTGCCTTCTACCAGAAGCCTGATGGAAGCATTCAGTGCTTTGATAAAGAAATAATCCCCCAAGCAAGCATTAGAAAAATGACAAGAGGTCCAGAAGATAGTTCTCAACAGAGATTTTTCCAATTTGAAAAGTTAACCCACTCACTTTGAGGAAGCCACAGTGTTAAATGTCCTTCACAGACAAACCACCAGAGAGAAAACATGCACTGCCTACTAACACATTAAATACACACATACTACAGCATACTGGTAATGCAGGAAAAAAACCCAGGCTTCAAACTCAATCCCACAGAGAATCTTGCAACCTGTGTTTAAATGCAGCTGCTACAAATTCTGTACCCACAGAACAGCACTTGGAATATTCCTCCCTCTGCCCAAATCCTGCTCGCACGGTGCCTCTGCCACTCCCTCAGAAGCAG